CAATGACGCTTGTCGGTGGTGATGATGAGTTCTTTCTCCTATTGGATAATATTCGCCTTCTCTATCGATCCCGTTAAGTGCGTGATCTCTTGTTGTGATAGCTAGAGTGTTGGCGTTGTGGTTGTCATTGCGAAGTGACAAGCTGAACATCATGCTGCATGTTCAATTTTGCGATATTAACAAACGGAATGAAATCACGGTTGTGCCGCCGTTGCCGAAAGATCAAAGGTGAAACCATATCTGACGGATAGATCACATTGGGTTTGTGTTTTTCTCTGATTGCTAAAATACATTCGTGGAAGTAATCTGACAAGCTAGTATTGCAAACGACAAGAGAGGGGTTTGTAGTCTTATAATCTCAACTCAAATTCAAAGTAATCTTGGAGCACAAGTGTAGTTCTGTTTGGACATAGTCAGCTTTGAAAAACGAACAGTGGATGTACCGCTGGGAAACTACGGAAATGGACTTGTGAATATCTTTTGATATCTTAAATGATATATATGAGGAGCTGTTACAATTATTCATCAAAAATTGAACAATCAGAATGTAAATTCTGATATCAAATAATTGAAGAATAAATTTGCTGAAATTTTCGAAAGTTAGGAAATGTCCTGTCAGTCTATGCAACCACTGATGGACTTTGTCCAGCCGGCTCCATGGTATAGACATGTATAAGACTGGTCACACTGATAGCTACCTAGGTATTGAGCCGTTATATGCTTGCCGAAAACGGCTCTCGGAGATCATATCACAGGATGGCGGACATTCGTATTTTGTCGGACTTTCAAAGGAGGTTCACTAACAAATTCAAAGCTCGCAATCATGTTATTATTGGGATTGATATATATGGAGAAAGTCAAGGCAGGAGAGGATCAATTGACGTCTGTAATGATGTTTCTAGATTGTTTGGACTGGACGTGAGGTCGTTCATGGTGCCATTAGCGTGTCCCACACCCAAAGTCAAACCCGAGTCACGAGAAATAAAATCACGTGACCAGGGTAGAAATCTCCACAACATTCCAATCCTGTCAAAACAGAAGCAATATAATTTTGAATTCGGAAAGCTGACTCTCTCGCGCCGAATTTCATTAAAGACTCAATTCATCACTATGGAGTCGAATTTGTTCAAAACTGTGTAGTCACAATTTCCGACCTTGAAGTCGGGGTAATAAGTTGTCTATGTTCTCCCGATGTTGTAATGTTGTAAGAACAATATACTGCCGACAAAGCATCTCACGACAGCATGGTACTACCCATACGAGCATCTGACGATACTCTTTCATACGTGGTGTTGTGCCTGTACATTCTTTCTCAAAAACGCCTAGGTTGTAGTATTAACCCCTCTTGTCTTACCCAAAAAGCATGTAGTTCAAATTTCAGCTACCGCCATTTGAGCCCTTTGAGGTCTCAAATGGGCTGAATAAATGCATAGAAATACCAATTCAGTGTGTATCGGCAAGAAAATCTTCATCGGTGAGTATTTATCTGCAAGCCAAGTATGGGCCAAGAATTTCTCTTATGTAATGGGACGTGGCTGAAAGTCGTTGTCTTATGCTATGCATGTAAATTCCTCCCTTGTCCAATGGTTCATGAGGAATCATTGTTTAATTTAACCCACAAAATTATTGTTTACATCCAATGTTTACATAGCATAAACCTTACAATTGGACGCATGATTCTTCGAGTATAAATAATAGCAATGGCAGCCTCTCATCCACTTCACCAAGTTCCTCTATCACATATTCTCCACCATCGTTGGGATTCAAATATATCCATCGTAGCGTTGCTAATCATCATTATAAGTCCTACATCATGAAGCTGCAACTTGCTTTTCTTGCTGGTGTCGTAGCTCTCAGCAATGCCTCTCCTCATGTGAGTCAATTACGCCTTGGCTACTGCCCACTGATGCTAACCCAGCTCAGTCCACATCAGTGAAAGCTCGTCACTTTGATGAGCCTGGGAATCCAGATCAGCCCGATAAATCATTTGGCTGTAACTGCACTGGTACAACTCCAGGTCCGCTGCCGGCCTCCGCTCAATATATCTGCTATGACTGGAGACTTGGACCGAAAACGCTTCCAAAATATCTTCCTCTCTCCAGCGAGCTATCATCTTATGATAGATTTGGTGGACTAACACCCGGAGAATTTCTTAAAATCTGGTGGGATCCTCAACTCAATCCTCCGTATGGGAGTTTCAGATACCCAGGGGATGTAACACCAGGGGACCAAGGCTTTTCAGTCGACATAAATGGGAAACCCATCAGCGGGTTTGTAGAACTGCCACCAGACACTTATCTAGACAGGTTTGGAAAAGAGACTGGTTAGTCTTGTACCGCTCACTTTTGTAACGGTTTGGTGTCAACTAACACACGTAGGGATGTTTCTATCTTCCGCCGATACGCCCTATTCCCAAAGATCTCTACCACCTTCGAATCTCAACAATCGACCTGATGATCCAGGATTCCCCAACGACTATCATGTGTATCGAACTACTCAAAAGCTGATACTAAATGCTGGGCCTATTGCTCCTGTAAGTGTCTTTGACCCTTGAACATCACTATTCCCTATATGAAATCCCAGAAACATGTATTGTTTTTCTCGGTTTAAAAACACGGCTTTTCTCCAGCTCTCACTACACATATTTGCAACCCAAACAGATGCTGACTCTCCGATGCTACAGTGGTTTGGTCAGCCGGGACTTGGAACGCAATTCTATTCAGGTCCTCGGACTATTGCGGACTTGATAGGCAATAAGACCTTAGAGAGGGTTGACCCTTCTGTTTTGATCTCCAACAGACAGCAACAGGGCTGTGGCTACTAGACGTACTCAACTGCCGGCCATTTTGTTTCCGCGATTTCAACCATTTTTCTTCGCTGTCAATCCGTTATAATAATAAATTAATTATAATACTTATTAATGATCAAGGATTAGTCTTTCAATCTGAGACAATTGTGGATTTTGTACAGCTGCTGCTTACAGATAATTTTCATTGCTTTTTGATGCTTGATAAGCTCTCATCGATGTACCCCTCCCTCGCCTTGTCATTGGCGGCCGCGCGATCATGACTCATTGTTTGGAGGCTGAGTCCAAACAGTTTGAGTCAGGATGAAATGGTATTCCTATCTTGTGTGCCTGTCCAACCAATATGAACGTGCTCATTGTGCTGGTTGCTGGGTCTGTAAAAAGGTAATAAGTGTATAATTCCTAGAATGGCAGCTGATCTCTGAGATAACAAGTTGGTACTTAAGATTTTCTGGATGCATATTATTTCACACAAGTTCATTTAGTTGTCGATGGAAAAGAAGCCGATACCTAGCTTACCGTTCCCTCCTTCCGCCCAATACTTCGTGAAATTGAAGACAGGATCGTGACGTCCGGACAAATGAACACCCTGTGACTCTCTAGAGACTATCAAGTAACGGAAAGTTATTACTGATTTCTCAAATTCTGAATATTAAAGCAATTACCAAGCGGGTATTTTGATATGATTCGTCAACAACCAATTTTTTTTGAATTAAGATATTTTACCCTATGGCTGTGCTACGTCTGAGAGATGATGCCGTGGCACTTGCCTGAGATACTTCCCATCATATCCGTTTGTTTATCGAACTTGCGATGATATGCAGACTGATCACTTTCCTTCTTTGCGAAGGAATACTAGCATTTCTTATCTGCGAAAACCCAACGAAATTCCTGCTGGTAGCAGAGACCAATATATGATGCACATCTTAAGGGTCTGATGGACAAGATAGGACTAGGTTTTCTGAATGTAAGAGAGAGGATTTTCAATCAGACTACAAGATTGGAGACGATGATTCTGACTTGAAGGTCTCGGCGTGAAGTCAATTGATGGATCCAAAGTCCGTGAGAGAATAAGCAGGCCCCGGGAGTCCAGTCAAAGAGATTAAACACCTTCATATATTAGTGTGCAATAATTCATATATTTTTTATCATATCAATCGAGAAAATGAATGATTGCGGACTTAGGAATTATTTGATTCTGAGAGTAACGAAGATGAAATTCCTCACCCGCACATATGTTCATAAACTGCATTTGACTAAACTATTCTTCCAACACCCTTGAGATCGTCATCTCTCTATACGATATCACTGAATTAAATGTATGAAAAGAATTATCCCGGGCTTTGCGATAGTGTATCTACATTGATCAATCTCGACGCATTCACCGATCAAAGATTGTTCTAGATGTATGTCGAAGGCCACGAGGTTCAAATTTTTGAGATCAATTAGTACCGAACTCCATCCTGAAAAGGATCATGATGAATTCTGCAGCTGTAATAGCCATCAAGCAATGGTAATTTAAGCATGAATGCGGATGACAAATGGTGTCTGTGGAGCTTCAGAGGGCTTTATTCACATTGTTAATGGGCGGAATTGTTATATATAATAGATATTTAAACAGAATATTTACAATTCGCTGACCCTAAATTCAATCGTCCCCATCAATGAATCGAGGTGAAGGGGATAGTACGGTAGCTAAGACTTACTGTATGAGTTTTGCGTTAAGTGTTAAGCGAAGCACTAGTACTTCATCGTAGGCATCTCTAGCACTTATAAGCACTCTGGATCCTACAACCCGACAACTAATTTCTCTAATTGTCTATCTTCATAATTGAAAGTTTCTCTGTTATTCCACTCAATAGTACGACCTTTCGTTTGGACTGCAACACAACTTCCATCAAACTTTTAGCAGTCCACTTCCAAGTTTGAATCCACTTGCACTATATCAAGTCTGTTTCGAAGTTTGAAAACAAACTCGCGCACAAACTTTTATATTCCTAACCTTTCTTTACTTTGGTAAGTAGTTACTCATGGAGAAATGTTATATACCTTTACTTTTTGAGAGGTTTAGAGTTGTTTTCGAGCGCCTAGAGATCTTGGCGTTTGAGAGATACTGATACTCACCCAACCATCTAACCATGGTGGCACTTTATGTTGAGCATCCACTAATTGATTGAAAGATATAGATATCATAATGAGTACCGAAACAAATGATGACAGGGTACAGCCTAATGGCACCATGACACCTTATCAAGAAGCACCTGGTGAACTTCCCGTCACCGACCCAACAGAACAACATCTTTTCGCAAATCTCGAGACGACAAATATAAGAGACGATACTATACACGAAGCCGAAAGCGTAGCTCTATCTGTGTCATCATATAACGGTGTTCCTGCAGCTTTAAACCATGACATGGGAAAATTTCTCTCAAACGACCAGCTCGCCAAGGTCAAAGACCTCCTCCAGGCACATCTGCCGTCGCCGATCTGCAACCCAGAGGTACCCGTTGAAGGATGCCCACTTCTCAATTCACTGAGCCTGGACTGTCGCAGGCTGATCTGGAAGCTTCTGCTTCTGAACCCACTTCTTGGAGAGAGTTTTTTCATCGACGGTGATCAGGTCTTTGGGTTATTCCCCGCGATCCTGAGAGTTAATAGGCAGATCTACAACAAGGGTATGGATATCCTCTATGGAAGCAACAAATTTTTGATTGGGTGTATTCCGTACAATTCGTATTTCTGGGACAGCTGCCTGGAGTGTGCTTTGGCCAGGGGACAGCACCTTGATCGTACTGGCGAAGACAGAGAAGTTGAAAGTGAAAAAAGCCTTATTTCAACTGCAAGATATGTTCAGCACTGGAAAATTTTGATTAGCGCTATTGACTTTCAACAAGTAGCGACAGAGAAACTTCTGCGTCTGTGTCACAGCATCTATATGGCCAACATTCAATCACTAGAAGTCTTGATTATCCCAAAAGGCATCGAGGATGGTTGGAATATGAGTGACAATTATGGATATGAACATCAGCTTGCGATTACTTTGTCACCACTTAAGCGTTTCCGGAACGTTCAGCAATTCAACATCCGGCCCGCGGAAATTCATGAGATTCCAGCTGTCGCTTTCGATCAGGAACTTGCGGATGAGTTCATACCAATCTTGCCTAGTCCTGTTGATGAGGTGGAACTCACTGGTCTGATTCAGGGTAACTCGGAAGTTGAGACAATTGAGAAGATGTACAAAACTCTCCTCACCTACGCCCAAGCGTTCGAACGATTTGAGAACTTCAAGTCAGCAATGGACATTAATCATAACGAAGACGAGCTAGAACAAATTTACAGTTTCGAAGTTTCTAGCAGTTTTGCAATCTCTGACCAAAAGATCAATCCATTCAAGGCCAGCCGTCATCCTGTCGAGAGAGCACTGAGTGCAGCCAAGACTTCTATGTTTCAGGACAAAATGGATCAGTTCAAAATGAATAGATCCCTCCTCATTCAGTACTTAGAGCACGAGTACCAGATCATCGAAGCTGCATCTAAGAATTTGGTCGATTTTATTAAAATCCATAAAATAGCAAATGGGTTCTTCCGTCATCCTCTATACATCAACAGAAATGAAGATTATAATGAAATCGCCTCGCCCAATTATATTGCTACGCAAGCTTTGGTTTTGCTAGAGGACTATGAGGCTAGATTAAAGCGTAAATTAGAGCCAGCAACAAAGGTTGAAATACGAAAGTACAAGCTTCTTTTCAATTCCTTCTACGACGATCTTCCACGTGAAAGACTCATGAAGCTGTGCGAAATGGCTTATGAGAAGCAGTGGTGGCTTCAATTCGTTACCTATTTCCAGGAGGCTGTGGATGATATGGATGTTCAATATCTTGCAATCAGACAGGCTCGAAAGAAGTTGTATGCGTGGGATCTTCAGGCAACTGTTCGGGAAGTGGATGTAAAGCCTATGCTTTCCGATGAGATCATCAATTGGAATGAGTGTGAACCAGACATGCGGATCAATGAAGAGTGGCGTAAATACCGCTCTTATGGAGAACCTGAACTTTCCGACCACACATGCGATGAAGACAGCGATGCGAATAGCAATGACTAATCCTCTGAAAATAGACAACGTCTTTTACAAAGACGTGGAGGATTCCGAGGTGCATTACAAGGTAGCTGAAGAACTTCAAGCACAGTCAGACTATACAGAAGTCTGATCAAGGTTTATCTGGAAAGGCAAATGAGGAAGTAAAGGAAAGGCATCAGAATTTGATGTTTACCGATGAAGCTTGAGTGATTAAATAGAACTTCCAAACATTTGATAAATTCCTTCTATAGCACTTACATTCCTAATTCTATGAATATCCTCAATATTTTCCTCTATGTTATTAGTTTTAGTGACTTGATGATGAGCCGAAAAGTGAAAATCTGTAACTGTGGAAAGCCATAAGAAGCCTATCATTCTGTCAAACTGAAGGTTCCTACTTGCACAAGCAATGTTAACAATTGATTTTTAGATCTCGAATATTCTGGACAAGGAATACTACCAGATGTTAAAATACGCACTTCAGAGCCCAATCTCATCCTTAATCCAATCGTCGGTTTCTTTACAGAGGGTAACAAGTTTTACAACAAATAACTATCAAGGTTCGTGCATCGAAGAGGAAGCACATGTAACGCGCCCTGTCGCTCCTGAGCCGATTTCTCCGAGTTTTTAGGGGCTGTGTTCATAGCACACGCCATATTAAAATCATGCGAATTGCCCCAAGTGATAGAAAGATCACGTGATATCACATGGATAAGTTTGAATTGTGATTTTTGTGAAGTGAATATTCGGGGGATTCTGCCGTCATCTGATACGGAAGGCTCTCACTAGCGTAGTTTCATTGTTTAGGACAATTCAAATAGACCCCGGGAGTCCTTACTCTTCGCTTCGTCTTCTGCGACCAAAAATACTCATTCAACGGATCTCTCCTTTAACTTGTCTCCAATTCAGTCGACACCTTCTGAGTGAACTTCGAGATCAGACTCTGTAAGTATTTCTGCCCCGTTCCTTTCAAATCTTATAGCTATCTTAAATAGTTGTTTTCGACTATTATTTGAGATGCGAGGTTTATCGTGAATGCGTTTTACATGACTGATAACTGGACTAGTCCTTCACAATGAGTCGAATCGAGGAACGCAGTACCAGAAAGATGCTTCAAAAGCAATCGCAGAAAGTCGATCGAGACAATGGTCAATCCTCAGAACAAAATACGCCACAAGCCGTCATCCGCAAGAGGAAGGTTCAATTTGCAGCAGCGTCAACCTCAACGTTGGGACGTGTGCCACTTGAAATACTCAGAGAAATATTGAAATATCTTTTGCTGAATCCAGAGCTGGGCACAGCCTCGTGCGTTCACAGGGATGAAGGATGGGGTTCCAAAATCAAGTACGAACTCCAGCCCTCAATTCTACGCGTCTGCAAGGAATTTCACGCAGAAGGAGCGGAGATACTTTATGAAAAAAATCGATTCTTCATAGAATGTGTTCTGTCAAATCAGGACCATCTGCTTCACCGCTGTGACTTGACCAGGTTTTGCGAGATTCCGAGCGCTGAGTGCTTCTATCCATCGGACGAACTAGCCACAAATCATTTGAGAACTGTGCCAGGTGTAAAGCGCATCAAACATTGGAAGATATTGATAGCTCCCATGCGCTCTAGCGCGCGCAATAATGTTGCAAATCTTTGTCGCTCTATTTGCCAAAAAGGAATCAAGTCCATGGAAATTGTGATTGGGCCTTGGGATAGTCTAGAGCATCCAAGCTTATTGGAAGGAGGTCCCAGAGAGAGTGCTGAAGTCAATAAAGTAACGGCTGAGAAGTTACAGGACGTTCTTTCGCCCTTGGAGATTCTTCGATGTGCTGGAAAAGTTGTCATTCGTGGAGCAGACCCAGAGGAAGTGCCTGACTTTCTCTTTGAAGGAGATCGACGGAATTACGACTTTTACAGCTGGTCACTAGGGGTCGAGAGGCGTGAAACCACACCCTGTGGAAGGGTGTTATTACCGGAGACGATGTACTTGGCCAACTTGATTGCATTAGTTCAAGGTGACTCTGAAGTCGAACTATTCCACAAAATGTACTACGCTTTTCTCAATTACGCCCAGGCTTTTGAACGAATATATGAGTTCCGAAACCAGATGGCCGTCGACCATCTGCAGCTGTATCGCAGTCCATACTTGGCGGAAAATCCTTTTCGTGGGACCCATCCTGTAGAATCGGCTTTGCTAAAGGCTTTACGTATGCAAACGAACAAGGAAGTAGGAGTACAGGATATTTCCGAATTCAGAATTCTTCGGTCAAATGCCATAAGATTTCTTGAGAGACAATATCGAAAGATTCAACAAGCCGCCAATGATTTGGTCAGATTTGTCAAAGACCAAAAAGTAAGTGGGGGTCTGCTCGATCCTGCTCAATCACCGGCATTTGGATTGTCTCCTGGAGTGCAAAGAGAGGGACTTGTTTTGTTAAAATACTATGCGGAATCTTTTAATAGAGACCTAACAACAGCAACCAAGCTTGCTATTTGCAGATTGAATGGTCGATATGAGAAGAGATTCGAACTGCTTCCCCGAGAGGTTGCAATTAGGGAATGCACAAATGCTTATAGGGGTGGAGACGTGAAAGGATTCGTGGTAAACTTCGAGTGTGCTGCCGATGACATGGATACTCAATATTTTGCCATTCGCGACGCGAAAAAGCGGCTCTTCGAATGGGATTTGAAAGAGTCAGGTCATACCGCCGAGATTGACGTGGAGCCACTGAGACGGGATGAAACAAACGAGTGGGATAAAGTCGAACCGGATATGGATGTCAGGAACCTTTGGAAGCTAGAGCTCCCTCAGCAATATAAGAGTCCGTATACTAATAATATTTGAGTTTCTCTAAAATATTGTTATATGTGATATTGAAAGCTCTATCACTGGAAGTTTTCAATATTATTTAGATATCACAATGGTTTTGGGGCTGATGTTATCTAGAGGCGTCTTCTATTATTTTTTCCGCAGATGACGGTCGGAAATTCGTTTGGACATTTCTACCTCTATTCTGCTTTAGTTGTAGCATCAGGATCTCCTTATGTGCCAGTCATATCTTGTGGAAGATAGCAAATTTAGGGGCGGAGTTATAACTTTTATCTTCCATTTTCTTTCCTTGTCGAATTTCTGAAATGTCTGAAGGATGATGGAGAAAAAAGAAGTTGGTCATACCAGTCATTGTTTGCTTCCTCTTACCTAGTATTCATCGAATAATGGAATATTAGCTTATTCCGCCATTTGACACATGAAGTTTCCGAATTGTGATCACATGAGTGAGCCCTCGGTTCTAGCAAACCTACAATATTTTTCAACGTATCAAGTTTACAAACCATTGTTTATCGAAGCTCACCACTACATAAAATTTTAAAAGAATTGAAGGTCTAAAAAGTGACAATGAGTTTTTTATCAATCGAGCATATATATCAGTTGTCACCAACAAGTTTATAGACAGAATGCTTTGAAGTGTGTTGTTATTTCTATCTAGGTGACAAAATTTCTGGCAGAGATAATCTTGCGTTCTCACATTTTCCGTGACCTAAACTAACCTCCTAATATCTTAAGAGCTTTCGAATATTAGAAACACCATTAACAAGCTCTCTTGACGCCTATCTAATCGTCAAGTCTGTAACTCGAATTTCGATCCAACACACATCAGTCTGTGGCAGTATCCATAATCCAGTACAGAGAATCCTAATTCATCGACTAATAACAGCAAAGAGCTAAACCAACTAAGCATCAATGGATTGAAACACTAGTACTGCCATGTCTCAGTTAGTACGACTTCAGAAGCATGAATTCAAGCAGTTCCGGTCGGATGAAACATCCTTGATGAGAGTTGGTGATCATTGCTACGAGCGTGTCATCCACGGGAACACATGTGATAGAGAGCTTTCACAGTTAGCAAGCCAAGGTAGGACGTGAAAAACGACTCCACCACTGTTGACACAGTCCTCTTTATGAATGTCCTCGTCTTCGGATTCCAAACCGAAGCTCTCATCGTCCGGGTGATCTCTAAACAGTTTCTCGTAGAAATCATTCTCCGAAGCACTATCAGAACTGATAGGGTTGACATGAGGTGGTCGAGACTGATTGCCTTCCCATTGGAAAGTCAACTCATAGAATTCGTCATCATCGTGATATGGCAGAGATTCCCAATTTGCGAGGTCGTCGAGCTCCATTTCAGCAAGATGAATCTCTTTCGCATTGTTCTGTACGTTCGCATTTTGGCCATCAGTTCCATCACCATCGACGGTATGCGAGCCCTGGGAAGCTTGGTATCCTGCTTCTTGTTGTGCAAGGAATTCTTTTTGAACAATTTGGCGCCGAAGATCATCTTGCATCTTCTGGGCTTCTGATTCCGTTATCGCCGTAATTTTTGGTTCCTCTATGTGCCACCTAATATCCCAAGCTTCTAATAAACCTAATTGTGTCACCTTAATATCAGGAATATTGCTACGAGCGTCCCAGTCATACAGCTTGGATCTAGCCGTGAGTATCGTAAAATACTGAAAATCCGCATCCCCCACTACTTCCTGGAAGTACGCTCTGAATGCAATAGGATCGCTCCTACTATAAGCTACAAGACATTTTTTAAGTCCAATCTCTCTTGACATAGACTCGTAGAGATGCTCAAAAAGACCAAATTGGACGCGCACCGCCATTTTAGTTGACGCGTCGAGCTCTCGAGTAAATGATGCGACATAGTTTTCGATTAGGACCATAGCCTCAGTGTAGATGACCATGTCAAAACCGTTATATTGTTTGGTACAAGCAGGATCAAAAATGCCCCACTTTCGCTTTTGCAATTTGACAAAGTCGACTATTTCTTGGGATGCGTGAATTATCCTGCAGAACTGGCGTTCTAGGTACTTCAGAATGACAGATCGCTCTTCCTTGAACTTGGTGGTCTTAGTAATATCTCCACTTTCTTTCTCGGTCATATATCTCGCCTTTTGCAGACCAGCCTCGACAGTATGAGCTAGCTCTTTGGGATGAAACTCTTGGTTGAGGAACGGATTATGGCTTAATGTAGTGAACTCCCCGGACATTGAAGAAGCTACCTCTTCAAAACTCAAGGACATCTCTTGTCTGTACTCAAAATGCCTTTCAAACCCTTGTGCGTACTTCAAGAGAGCATTGAACATCTTAGTGCTCAATTCGACTTCTGAATTTCCTTGGATAAGATCGATGAGGAGGTGTCGATAGGGTGCAGCAGGTAGCATTGACTTTGTCACGAGTGGCGTCTTCGACCAGTCATCCCTGCATACAAAGTCTGGTATCTCAGAGATACTGGCTGTTCGAATTGACACTCTAGGTATGTTTCGTAAAAGCTCTAGTGGCACAAGATTTTCGCGCATGTCGGCCGCGTCTATATCAACCAATACCGTATTATTAAGTGTAAAACCCGGCAGGCAACTTGAAAAAAAGAAATATAGAAATGAGTCTTACCTAAATAGCCGTAATTGAATTCAGCACCTTTGGGAATGATGCATATGTCTAACTCTCTCAATAATGTCCCTCCTGAAAGTATCTGTAGCTCGCACAGTAGACGGCACAGTTCAACGAGTCCATCTTGACTTCGGGGCTCATGAAGCCTGGCGCTTAGAACTATTCTCCACTTTCGTACCAATCTAATACCTCGATTTCTATGCAATAAAGTATTTTGTGTGGAGTTGGTCGGGAGATGCGTGGTAGGTTGGTTGTCCCGGCGAGTCAAGGGACTGCATAAGGTAAAGGGATGAATTGTATTAACTTCATGAGGGTGTATGTTTGGTAGTGACTCCACAATGAAATGGTTCAAACCATACAAAATCTCCTTGCCTTCCTCATGGAAAAGGCGGCAGACGAGGAGTACCTGTGGGCTCAAGTCGTAGTTCAAATCAGCTCCATATCTCTGATTTTCGTCGATAGAAGACGCCTCCGCTAACTCAGTATTCAACAATAGACGTTTAAATATATTTCTCCGAATTTCGGTAGGTATATTGAGTAAACTTGGTGGTATAATAGTGATGGAGGTAGACGCTGCCTGGTTAATGGCCTCTATTCTATCCATTTTGAGAAGTGGTCAAGAAACTGTAGTATTATGGAATGTTGGTTTCAAGAAACTTATACTTGTGCTGATTACTATGACAAGTGTAACACTGGCAGCGTTGTAAAAATCTTCAACAAGCACCAACACAAGCTGAGTCTTCCAAAAAATTCTTCTGACTGAATTAAATGTTGTTTGCTATTGAGTTGGTAACCAAAATTCAGGGCCAATTGTGTGCTTTATTGTGGAATAAAGGTACAATCAAGTTTCGAAAAGTAGATTTTATTTCAAATCTATTGTGCTGTCAAGATTTCTTTTGTGTGAATATAGAGATATTCCAAGATAAAAAGGTGTGATTTAAGGATACAATACAAACTTGAAAACAAGTACAGAAGTCTAGACTATCTGAATACTCACAAAGATTGTCAAAATTGGTTTCAATGCTCCCACTGCTATATCCCTGCCTTGAACTGCTTGAAACTCTCAAAACTTTCGGCTTTCGGACTCGGACTTCGGCTTAACAGGCTTAGGGATGGAATTGGTTTATAAGTGAATGTATTAACTATAATTTTATCTTTTAGCGAATTATGATTATCAATATCCAGTAGTAAAAGTCAGCTCTCGATTGTGGCTGACTATTATTCCGAGGCTCGTTCTTGACGTCTCTTGTAAAATTAGTCTCTTCTTTTGAAACTTACCAACTTCAAAGAACCTTTTTTTTTCATATTTTCATTCCATTTCAAACTAAAGATATTTTGAAATATCAAGTCCCGAAAAGATTTCAATCACAAAATCTGATCAAAATTTACTTCGTAATTTCTTCAGATTATAGGTGTTCATGAAGGGTCGAGAAGTTCTTTCTCAACCAGAGTCGTTTCCCTCCCGACTGACACATGTAAGTTACATTCTTTTAAGATTCAAATTTGAACATCAAATAGTACCTGCAGTTATGCTAAATTATTCACTGACACTGTAGTGCTAGACAACATAGGTCATGGATCATCTATTGTCCAAGGAAAACATTACAATGGCTACACAACAAGTTTCGAAGTCGGCAAATTCAGATGAAAATATTGAGACTACTATGGACACATCTCTCTCTTCACCGACATCCTCAATGAGTCAAATCATGAATCGTACGTTAAGGAACACATTGTCTGGTTCTCCAGTCGAAACCAAAGAACTTAAGAGCGCCCTCATCAGCATTCCACAAGAAGTTCGGGACATGATTTACTCATATCTCCTGGTAAACCCAGTCCTAGGAAAAGCCACTTCAGTCTCGTCAGAAACTACCTATGGCAGCACTCAGAAGTACGATCTAGACACTGCAATCCTTTATGTGTGCAAGCAGACATACCGGGAAGGCATTTCCATCTTGTACAAAAACCCTATTTTAATAGACTGCAGCAACAGTCCTGGTGATTGGGATTTCACAGATGGTGTCTTCGATGACCGTCGTTTGGAAGATGAAGAAGATGAAAGAAATGGAATCCTGGAGCCCTATATCATCAATCTCTGCCCATTAACCCGGTACACAAATTGTCAGCGCAAAAAGCATCAAGACAAGCCATTGTTTCGCAATACCCTAAACATTGAAAAGGTAAAGATTTGGAACGTCCTCTTGAACTCTTTCAAAATAGATTGCTGGTACGAACCTCTCAACTCAAATGCTTTTGCTGAATTCTGTATTTCAGTATGTCCGTACCCGAATATCTCCCTAAGCATCTCAATTCTGCCTGTGACCTTCCATTCAAGTCAAATCCAAACAGAAGCAGCAGGATCATTTATATGGAGGAAGGCTTGGTCAACAATCTATTGCCATTAAAGATGATACGAAATATCAAGAGACTTGTTATCAAATGTTCTGAACTCCCTATGATTCCGGACTACTGTTATCACCGAGATCACGGAAGGAAGCTATGGCCTGCCGAGTTGAGTGTACCTGACTTACCTTCGACGGAGCTCATCAGTGAGTACGTCAAGCTTACTAGTGGAGCCACTCCTGTTATTGAATGTTTATATCTTCTGGGGGAAAGATTGGACGAGTATTTCTGGTTGTTCCATCGTGCAGAGATTGTGGTGATCAACAGAGCGTTTGTGGGCTTTCGACGCAGCATCAGAGTCCATGATACTTTGATTTGCCCACCTGAGGCCGTCGGTGGTGGACTGGTCATCCAAGAAGATGAACAAAGTTTCCTCGATTGCGGAGAAGTAATTGGAGCTATCGGAGGTCCTTCTCTTGAACACACTGAAACCGCCGAGGAGATTCTCTGTTTCAAGCAGTACCGGGGAGAGTTACTTCATGTCCTAGAGCCTGAATACCAGAATGTTCGTGCTTGTTCTATTAAACTTCGGGAGTTTCTTCAAAGCGAAAGCGGCCCAACCGGAGTTTTTGTAATCGGGCCTTCCAGAGCCGTTGATCGACAAGATTACTGGACCAGAGTAACAAGAGCTATGGAAGTACTAGAGGAATACGAATACTCATTTGTAAGGGGAAAGTCAGAGAAACTAAGGCTTTCTTTAGCAGAAAAAAAACAATTATTTTGTGTTGGCGTATGTGTCGGGTGAGTCAAGAATGGTAATGAAGAAGATAGCCTGGGCATACGAAAGAAGGATGTGGAAGAAACTTATGTTTTATTACAAAATCGCAATCAGACGCATGGAAAAGCACTATGTCAAAATAAGATGGTGCAGAACAGACCTTTTCAAATGGGATGTTTCTGACAGAGGCTCTGATCTGGACACTCATTCTGATATAGTGGAGGCAATTGTTTGGCCGAAGCCGGAGTTAAATTCAGAACACGACCAGGAGCATATAATCAAGATCTCCAAGGGTGAGACAAGTGACACAGATCTTAAGGATTCTTTATGCGTTGGCGATAATCGTGATGATGATGTTTGGTAGTTTGGCGATAGCGAAAATTGATATGTTCATCCAAACAGACATTATATTGCTGATTCTATCGAAGCTTTCGTTAGATTATCATCTAGTACTATCATCTATTGTATCGATTCGGCTTCTGCTCAACTAGCTACTATCTAGTGTCTTCATTCAATCTACTTCTGGTCACATGAATATGGAAGAAATGGTTTCATTGATGGCGACATTGGTATCTCAAGTTTTTCCGGAACCAAGTAGGAGATCAGAGCTCATCTGGCAAGGCATACAATACCGTTTTATAGTTGTACCTAGGTACTTGAATGAAAAATCAGTTTAAGAATGAGATCATTCATGAACGTATGTGCTCAAAGACAAATTTGCTGGCACCTCAAGTGACCATCTCCTACATCTCTTATTCTATTGGAAATCACGATTTACCAATTCAGCCCCATGATTAAGTTTCATTATCAAATTTGTCCAATTGTCTTACCAAAAGCCCACCGTCACTATACATGAGCTAGCGGCGATAATTTCTATCTTAGATCCTTTTGAATATCTCACAAGTTACTCACTATCACCGTGCTAGAATTATGGATTTAGTGCAAGTATTGAATAAGAAAAGTGCACTAATGTCATCATTAGGCTCTAGCTTGAACTAATATATGAGCTACTTATTATATGTGTACCTAGGCTTCTTTAATCTATCATGCATCAGACTTGAATTATATTTTGGTACAGAGACCACACATTGCTTTTAACGAGGATGCTGTTATTATTTCTCTATTCTTGTAGACCATATTCACACGTCAATATCGTAAAAACTGCATCCATTCATGGACGACTGTCTTTCCATGGAGCAGGAAGCAGTTGTCTTTGCCCACGGATATCTATCCATACAAGTGACCATTGATTGGTGCTGGTGAATACCATATTGATTGACTAGCCTCTATGCATATAGGTCAGTTTGATGTTCCCTTCTACAAGAACGCTCTTTTCCTGGAAAAACTTGATGTAGAAAGGGAATTGGCTGACAAATCAATGAGTGCTCGTTCATCTGAACTGCCGTGTAAAACGAGATTGAAAAAGTCTGTTCTGACTATTATAAAACTTTAAAAGTAGTGATATTCCTACAGGGGCTCCAAATTCGAAAATCATTATAGTGGGGAAGGATGGGAATAGACGACGTCATTCCGCGGTGACTTATCCAATGAAAGATGCACAATTCTTTCGCTACGGCTGCTTCAACTTTCTATGCACATCTTATACATACGTTTATACGATTGATGGATGACTATCATAGTAAAAATGGACTATGGTTTTCATACGGCTTTTCGATGACTTAGTTCACCGTTTAGCGTCCTGAGGTCGCTTAACTTGACAATTGCCGATGTATTTAAGCTTTCACGCTCCTGCTGTAAACTTTTTCCCTTCTACACAACAACTATTCCTTGCAATAACTCGTCTACAATTAAAACTTTCTAACAATTTCTATCTGGAACAATCACAACTTGAAGAAAACATTGGATCATTGTGTAAGTAGAGTTTTTAATACTTTCAATTGCCACTCGGCAATCGGAACTCTTCCATCAAGCCAATAATTCGAAACTTTAGGTCTTTTTATTTCAGACTACTTCAAGAGATTAGGAGCTTTTAGTTATAAAAGTTTCAAAATGCAGCGGTCGTCTAAAAAACGTCCCGATATTCGCAACATCCGCGTTGCTATTCCATACTCTCTCCAGCATGGCGTAGCTCCTAAGTTTACGCCAACATCATCAGCCACTGCAATCACAAGACTCCTGAAGCCTACTCTTCTCAAAATTCCTCGAGAAGTACGCGATCAAATTCTGAACACTCTCCTTATGAGTCATGTACTCGGCACTGGAGCTTCACTATGCATCGAACTTAATGGCACCGATATACCTACTTCAGAAGAGATGCCTCGATACTTCCTTCACATTTCCATTCTCTCCGTGTGCAAGCAGCTATATGAGGAAGGTTCCAAGGTGCTATACGAGGGCAATGAATTTATAGTCGACTGTTTGGAATCGGAAAATGCACGTCCCAAGCTTGGTGAAGTTTGGTCTTCAGATCATGTATACTTGCATGATAACCTGGACGTATACTCCATCAGTGACACTTTAGTTGTCAGTCCTGTAACTCGATTACTAGAGGACAGTCACTTCACGCATGCCACATGCATGGGACTAAGCTCTCGAGTGCTTCAAAGGACTTTTCGACAATCTCGTTTTCAGCAAATCAGCCGCATCAAGAAATGGAAAGTCCTTGTCCGCTGTGCTTCAGAAAACTATGGCATGTACGCGCTATTACAATTCTGTCGAGCGGCGTGCGAGATTCCAGGACTTGAGATTACTTTTCTGCTCGTTGGGACGGAAAAAAACAAAAACGAACGAATCGATTCCAATAATGCGCTTAGAACATGGCACCCGTTGAAGTTACTTCGAAATGTCGCTGTAGTTGAATTTCGGGAAGCAACAGGGGACGGAATACCAGAGTACATGTTTTATCACAGATCGTGGGAAGATTACCACTGCAAAGGTTTTTTCTCGACGGTAAACTCTCTTGAAAAACATGTGGCTTTAATGAAAGGATCTTTGCCATTGAATTCCACGGAGTCCATCCATCTACAGTATGATAGATTATTGGCATATGCCCAGGCATTCGAATGTAATCCAGAATTTAGAGCTGATCTTGATTTGCCCCCGGATATTAACGCAAAACTTCCACGTTGGGGGAGTCCAAATAACGTGTTCCGTGCAAAACATATTCATCAGATCGAGGAAAAACGTCGATTTTTGCCGCAGAGAAGCCACGAATTCATATAGCAACATACATTTTTTCAGGTATACACGCCAGCAGGCACTGCTCGAGCTAGAGAAGCAATATGAAGCTATCAACCGACATGCTTTCAAACTCAACGAATTTACCAAATCAGAAAAGAGATTTGAAGGCTTTTTTTGGTCTAGCAGGGTGGAAACTCAAGACTGCTTTAACTAGACCCTATTACGGGACAGGTGAGAGTAGTGCAGATCCGAGATTGAGTACTAACGAGCAATACATCGAAGCCCACCGAGAATCTTTGAGAGATGATTGGTGGGACCGAAGTACAGAGGCACTTTTACTTTTAGAAGAATATGCAGATTCTTTCGCCAGAAAACTTTCTTTCCAACAGCGTATTGAGTTTCGCAAGTATGACATCGCTTCATTGTACAATCATCTGCCGAGAGCAAGATTGCTGGAAAACCTTAAGGAGGCCTACAAATATCGGGCGTACGATGATTTTGTCCAATGGTTCAAGAAAGCCGTGGATGATATGGATGGACAACTGATTAAGATTAGGAAGGCAAGACAGAGACTATTTGACTACGACAGAGATGAAAAGACTAAAAGGGGCATTCAAATTGACTATAGGGAGTTTGGGTTTGTTAATTGGGGTGTAAGTGAGCCAGACATGAGAGTGAGACTTACCATTGACAAAGCCAGAGAAATGAGGATATATGATGTGAAGGAAACATACTACCCATAAGTTCTCTGAGTAGTGGTATAACACATTAGCGATAGTTCATAGCAGTAATCAAAAATAAATCTCAAGCTCTATCTTAATTAAATTTGAACCATTTGCCATTTCCATTGAAGACCTAAGTGAATGCATTCTGAAAATAGCTTAAAATGTCACCTATAATAGGACTGGCGATTGACTCTCGATTCAAGCTGCAATATCATTTTATGCTCATCACCACGAAGCTCTTGGTCTACCGGACAACTTAATAAGAACGTGTTTGAAGTAGCTTTCAAAATTTAGCTCCAAAATATCCTTCCCTTTCTACTTTCCCTAGAAACATTTCTCAAAAGCTAGCCAGAATCTTAAGATACCAAGTAGATATCATCCCATGTTGCTCTCTACTCACCCTCATCCTCAAGAACCCCTCAATCAAACACTACATATCTTCACAACATGAGACGACATCAAGAAGATAATTTCTATTCAAAACTCCCATTCACTGTACACCACCCCCACCAAACTTACACCCCACACACAATTAATTTTTACCAATTGACAAAAAGCTATTCAGTCCAGTACGGCCACAACCTAGATATCCATGTTCTTTGGGCGACAGATCCGGAAGACAATCGATCTTAACATTAGTACGGCCTCACACTCTCATTAACCTATACAACCAAGTCAAAAACCTGACAGTGCAGATTACTAAGCACTGTACCTTTTCCAAGTAGGTATATATCGCAAAACGGTCGCTGTAACACTGCACGTTAAACTTGGCAGTCCCCCTATGTACGGTGGGATACAGTTCGCTACTTCTACACATCTCCTGAAGACCTACGTCGTAACAGCACAGCTCGCTAATCATGTTAACTCCTTAGTACGGTGCAATACATTCTTTTGATCGTCTTAGCAACTGCTCCTATAATACTTAAACATCTTTCTCCTCCCGCTTCCAATCGATATCTTGTTTTGATATTTATCATTCATTCTCTTGATAACTACACCAAGATACCAAATTTGAAACCAATTCTAATTCGAAGAACACGAAAGATAAACGGTCATCTACCACGGTGCAGTTCAATACGATAGTCCAATTAGTGTCTTCTGTGGTTTCTCACAGAAATACTTAAGACTTCTTCCTCCCACCTCCAAGCAACATCATCTCCCGGCATTGATTTCTCCTCAAACTCACCAATCATCAGGACCAATCGGCAAAGAACCAAAACCAACCTACAAGTTCCACGAACCACCTCAAAGAATAAAAGAATACCAATCATGCAGAGCCCCAGAAAGATTGCGAAGATGAAATCTCCAACCTTCCAGCATCTCACCGAAAACAACCAGTCAGCGAGACCACACTCCAATGGCTCCTCCTCATATGGAGACATCCCGCCGCAGAGTCCTATCATATCAGGGATTCCATCTCGCGACTCAGCCGCCCACATTCAGAACATGCCACGAGAAATCACCCACAAGATTTTCTCATACCTGCTCACCAATCCCATTCTCGGAACCGGTACCGCCATCACCACGATCGCAGATCCTGTCAAGAACGGGAAGCGAGTAGTCAACGTACCCAAGTACGAATTGCATCCCGCGATCCTCCGCGTTTGCAAGCAGATGTATTACGATGGCGTCCACGTACTTTACCAGCACAATGAATTTATTATGGATTGCACAAATTGGATGTATCGGGATGATTCCAATGAGGAGCTAGGTGGAATCTATGAGTACACGAGTAGTTATGATCAAGACTATTTTCCCATCACGACTGCTCTGAATGTCTCACCATTGACTCGATATGCTGAACACTCTAACGTGGCTCCAACCGAGCAGGATTGGGAATACCAGGGGAATGAATTCTTCTATGAACAACCAACTTTCAATCGTCTCGTGGGTCCTCAAGCCCGATATGTTCGGAAGTGGAAAGTCATCGTACGTGGAGATGAGGGTCATTACACCCACAGATTCGACGAAGCTGCATTGGCACAGTTCTGTCATGCAATCAGTCAATGTCAAGACCTCTCGCTATCTTTCATCGTTTGCATAGACAAAACATCGGAACAGACCCGAAAAGCAACTCGTGCGGATTTTGCCAGACATTTGAGTTTTGAAGAAATCTTCGCTCCTCTCAAACTACTGAGGAATTTGCAAAGTGTAGAGTTCAAAGAAGCACATTCCAATATTGATGAGGAAAAAGGTGGAGAGGAGTTTCCCGAGTCGCTCCCTGTCTATCTCGATGAGATTCATCAAATGGTCGAGGACTCTGCAGCGACTCTCACATCGGGAAAAGAGAAGGACAAGTACATCGATTTAATGAAGGGGTCTTCGCCATTAGCCGATCCCATCAAACCTAATGTGCGACGAACTTGTGGCATATACCCAAACCTTTGAGAGCGTGCCTGAATTCAGACAGGACATAGATGTGGGCAACTTAGATACTACCAATCAACACAAAAAGTCATACAATACGCTTGAGGGCACTCTACGACAAGCACGAGCAGCAGCATTGGTTTGGAAATCTTAAACTTTTCAAATCTTTACGCATGCAGCTGTTATCAGATATTGAAAATGATCAATTCCAGAGAATCAAGCGCTGTTTTTCCAAATTAAACGACTTCAACTTGCAGGATAGGGTCTTTCGCGGAATGTTGTGTCAAGGAGAATTCCACGACCGCATTTATGAGGATCAGGGATTTATGTTGGATCTTAACAAGAGTTCGCCCGAGACACGTCACTGGCGAGAGAAGATCACTACCGCTCTTCTTTTGCTGGAAGAGTATGCCGAATCTTTGGAAATAGACTTGAATAAGAATTCTATATACCGCCCGGGATATCGACTTCTAAGTCCTGGAGCCTATGTTAAGGATCCTGCAAGAGAGAAATTGTTGCGAAGAGTCAGAAAGGCGCACAAATTTCGGGATTATGGCTTTTTCATACACTGCTTCCAGAAGGTTGTCAACCAGTTGAATGATCAATATATTGAGATCCTAAAGGCTAAACAAAATCTCTTCCGATGGGATTCTAGACCTACTCCAAGAGGAATTGATATTCCTGATGGGAATGTTGAGATAATCTTTGATCGTAACATCGAACCGGTGGAATGGAATATTCGCGATTTCGACTACAGTCACAAGCCAGGGAAACGAGTACGGGAGACTACGAAGGAAGCGCCGTCACCTGCAAAGCGACAGCGTCATTCGAGATAGAGGATAGTGGTAGAGTGGAGTACCTTCCATGTGGAACAAGATGGATCTCTGTGTCTTGGGGCTGGAATTTGAGGGATCTCTTGCGTCGGATGTGTGATCTCTGTGAAGGACTGTTATAAAAGGATTCAATTCTACCTTAGAATCTAAAATTAAAGAAGAAAGAAAAGAATAAGAAGAGAACTATAAAGGCTTCGGACTATATATATCAATAAGTCACATACTAGGCTAAGGTCCTAAAAGCTAAGTGACTGAGAAAGAAACCTGAAAGAGACTGAATCGTTACATTACCCCCCCGTTTAAAAAAAGCTCACCTTTGAGTACTTATTCATCTCTTTATCTCCAACAACATCATTATATTTATCATCACTATCTTCGTAGTGTTTCAGTTATTGAGGTAGTGCCTTAGGCGGGCCGGGAAGGTTTTGATTGGTCAGGTGATATTCTTTGAGTTTGTGAGGAGAGTATTTGAAGTTATCAGTAGTGTACCAGGTAAGGTCAATATCGTAATTACACTATTGTACTCAATAATAAATATTATTACAAGTGCTCTTCGAAACTATAATTTGTTTGATTTCCCATTCTTCTTTACCAGTAATGTTGATTAAAGAATCAGAATTGTTTATTTAACTAGGAAAAGGATCATTTGCAGTTTTTTGTAGTTTTTCAGCTAGGAATGTATTGAAAATTTTCATTGTATTTGGTAGTGTTAGCTTAAAGGAATACCCTACCTTTTCGATAATAAGGAATTTGCCGTTATTGAAAAATCTAGTTTTTTTAAAGGGTGCTCGGTTTGGTAGTATTGCATATCAAGTTATACAAAATCGCTTACTTTGAAATCAATAGGTTGTTGATACATGTTAATCTTGAGCTAGGCTTTTTCTTAAACATCTATAAGGTATTTTGTAACGAGTTTCCATACGTCGTAGTGTTATTAAGCTATAATACGGGCTTCGTCTACACTAAGCTTGTTCTTGGTTTTGGTATTATGGAACTTCTAATCCTAAGAGGTTTGTAGGGGATAGTTATGTACGATTTCAAATGGAGAAATATTACCAAGAGAATTGTAAGGTAAAATGAGCTATATATAATCCATTATCAGTAAAAGCTTTAACCAATTATCTTGATAATAGGAAATAAAGGGTTAAAGTCTTTTTTGAAGATATTGATTATAGATCTTAATTTGTTCATTAGTTTGAGGGTAATTTGTAGTTAAATAGCTAATATTAATACCTAGAATCTTTTGAAATTCTTTCCAAAAACTTGATATGAATTGGGATCCACAATCGGATATTATGGAAAGAAAAGGACTGAAATAGCGATAAATATAATAAATATATAATTTGGCTGCTATAATTGAATTGATCATCTTTTTGTAAGGGATGGAGATAGCTTGTTTACTAAATCAATCGATAATAACAAATATATTGTTATATCCATATTTGTCTTTATTGAAGCTATAATAATCCATAGTAATATATTCCCAGGGTCGGCTTGGTATTAGTAATGGGTATAGCAAGCCAGGGGTTTTGTTTCGAGGGATATTTATTTTACAATAAGTATTACAATTTCGATAGTATTAAGCTATTGTTTAAAAGATTCCTTGTTAGTAATAGTGATTGGTTAATAACTTCAGGATTTTTCGAATACCTGGATGTGTGGTAGAGATATTATTGTGGGCTTCTCGGATTAAGAGGGTACAAAGATTATCTGTATCAGAAACCACTAGTTTGTTTTTATATAATAACAGTCCATCTTCAAGGCTAAAGTGATTATCGTTTTTCTGCGCTTGTTTCCGTAAGGCTTCTAAAGAAGGAGTATAGCGATTAGCGAGTAGAATACAATCGATAATCCGTAGAGCTGGGAAAATCGGAACTAGGTCTAGAATTCGAATAAAAGCTTCTTCGAAAGAATCTGGTCAAAACTTGTGAGTCAGAATAAAAGGATTGATTTGATTGTTTTTCAGAAATTGCTAGTGGCATTGCAACTTTTTCTTTTGATTTTGGTTATCGAGTTTGTTAGTGCGGTGGGTAAAAGTATTAGCTAATAGATTGTCTTTTCCTAAACAATAGCATATTACAAAATTATAGTCCGCCAGAAGTTCGGTTTATCGTGTTTACCGAGAGTTTAAGGCTTTTGTAGTTATAAAATAGACTAATGCTTTGTGATCGATATAAACACAAATCTGGTGTGGTGTATTAGTAAGTTCAGCATGCCAATATCCAAAGGACTTCACAATAGAAAGCATCTCTTTATCATGGACTTTGTAATTAAGTTCAGCAGGAGTTATAGTTTTCGAATAGAATCCTATGGGTAGTTAGTCTTTGTTATGCTTTTGCGAGAGAACATTTGCTACTATTCTATTTGAGGTATCTGTTTTCAGTATACATTCAAGGTCTTATCGATAGTGCTATAAAACAGGAAAGGAGGTAAAAAAGTCTTTAAGAGTATCCAAAGTGTGTATACAATCATTATCGAATCGGAAAGGAATATTATTTTTGGTTAGATTGATTAAAGGTTTGGTTAATATATTAAAGTTGTGTATAAATCGACGGTAGAAATTACAAAATCCTAAAAAGGACTGGATTCCTTTAACTATAGTCGGATACACCCAATTGCGTATAACAGCAACTTTCTCGGGATTTACTTCAACTCTTTCTATGAAGATTATAAAGTCAAGATATTTAGTACGAATAATACTAAATTCGCTTTTCTTTAGATCGGCTTGAAGATCAGTATCTCTTAAGCATTGTAAGACCTTTTTCATATGGATTGATATTCCAAAGAATCTGAAAAATAAATCAAGATATCGTCCAAATAAACTGTATAGAAATTATCAAAATAATCGAAAAGAATATCATTTATATAATATTGATAGATAGCAGAATCATTAATTAGATTAAAAGAAAGAACATAGTACTTATAAGCTCTATAACACATACGGAAAGTTGTATATTCTTTGGATTGAGAATTCATTCTAATTTAATAAAATACTTAATGGATATCGAGTTTAATGAAAATCTTAGTATTAATAAGGCAACCAAGAATTTCGTCAATCAAAAAGAAAGGGTATCAATCCTTTTGGGTAAATAAATTTAGTATACGAAAATCGATATAGAGTCGAAGATTTCTATCTGCTTTTCTTATAAAGAGGATAGAAGCTGTAAATAGAACTTGATTAGGTTTAATAAAGTCTTTATAAAGATTATTAATAATATACTTCTTGATTGTTTCAAGTTCTTTAAAAGATATCTTATAAAAAGAGCTGTATTTGAGAGCTTTTTTATTATTACCTTCAAGGTAATCTTATGATTATATAATCAATGTGATGGTAGTATATCCGATTCGATTTTCGAAAATATGTCAGCATAGTTTTCATATTCTGATGGAATAGAAGATTCTGTATTTAGCGCAGATAATAAGACTAGTAACGAGTATACAGCTATATAACATTGCAATAAACTAAAATGAAGGTTTTGCAATACAATATCAACTAATTTGATTAATACTTCCTCTTCAAAGCGTTAATCAATTAATTCACTAATTTTATGAAAAAGCTAATGAATAATTCATTGTTTTATCAGCATATACAGATCAAATAGAATGCAGGGTCTATAATAAGAGCAATTCGATTAGGCGCTTTAAAGCTATCTAAGGAATATAGGATAGAAAAGTGCTTTTTATGAGGTATAGGTATAGATGAATTATCCTTTAAGATTTTATATAATAGATTCTTCAGAATTTCGTTTATTTGCTTAATACTTCTAATTATTGATTTCTTGAAAATATTATTAATAATAATCAGAATCGAGGATATCTCCTTTAAAATCTTTTCGAAGTTCTCTTTTAAAGGTTTTAAGATTTTAAAGCTTTCTTGAGAAGGAACTTTTAATACTTGAATATCAAGGGATATATTAGATTCTATTGAATTATCCAAAAGAATAATTTCATAATCAAAATTAATTTGTGAAATTAGATTTGAAGAATAATATATATTATTAAGAATAGGGGATTTTCGTTTTTTCTAATATTAATTTAACTTTCGATCTTTTTGTTTAGTGTCTAATTACATTGCTAAATCTAGAGGCTTAGATTTGAGGTTTTTCTAAAAAGAATATAATTAAAAGTGAAAGAAAGAATTGGAGAATAAGAATGGGGCTAAAGTAGTTTTTGTTTTTTGCAATCAAGAAGGAGGGAATACTCAGTTAGTTATTATTATCCTAAAATAATATTATTATTCTGAAGAGTAATAATCAGAAAAGGAGTGTATAATTGAATATATTTATTAATTATAAGTATAAAATAAGTATAATGAGTAATTTATTTATCTACAATGTCATTATACCCTTTGATAGATATCAGAGTGGGTAGTTTAGTAACAAAGATAGTGAATACCAAGGAGATTTATTATAAAAAGGTTTTGTTAATAAATGCATAGTTATTAGTTCCGGAGTTAATAAGAGCTTGAACTTGAAAAGTAATTTTTTACTTCGAAATCGTGCAAGGAATAGTTATATGAGGATTTCCTATTAGTTTTTGTAAATCAAGGTATCTTATATCTCTTAGATACTCTAAAAGGGAGACTTTTTTAGAGTTTGTCTTTTGGGGGCTTTATATTTATTACTTTTTCTTTCTGGACAAAATCCATTAACTGTTGGGTATTGGAAGGGTTATTGGTAGGTTCGCCAAAAAGTTCATTAGTGCCGATAATCTCTTGAATTCGGGAATCGGATTGAGTTGGAATCGAATTTCTCGTTGGACTATTAGATTTCCAAGATTGGGAATTATGATAAGGATTATTCGAGATGGAAACTGTATTGGATCGGTAATTCGATGGTAAGCGGAATGAAACAGTATTCACAAAATATTGTGGGATCTCTTGACTAGTCTTAGGTGTAGAATATGACTATTGTGAAGTAGTCGTACAGTTGTTAACAGGGTTTGATCGGGTAGCCAATATAGTTGTATATTCCCTAGCTTTAATAGATTGGTAATTTACATTA